TTAAAAGCCGGGTTGCCGGGTCACTTTTAAAAATTTTATGTTATGAGAACCGATTTATTAAGTTTGTATGGCCTAATTATAATAAATTTAATAGTAATTTGCGCATATAAAATACTATCCATCTTAGACGAATTAGCAATTAATTTTTTTACCTGCGTTGGTGTCTTCACGAGTAATTGGTATTCGATTATATGGTTTGGCTCCATTTTTCAATGCATCTTCGACGAAATCATCAAGAAAAGATAATGATTCATCAATCTTTAAATAAATAAAAAATATTTTACCTATGCCTTTATCGACGTCACAAAAGATAAATAGAAAATCATTAAAGTATACGCACTGTGATATCATCAAAATTTTCATAAGGTTTTATAATTTTGTCCAAAATTACAAAGTCTTTTGATAAAATTATAAACTCACGGCTTCTCTATGATACCAAATTAATTTCAATGTTACATATAATCATAATAATGATAATGTAAAAAAAATATAGTTATACATTCACCTGTTTTACATCTCCGGATGATGATTGACAACATTTTGCTACACATTCTATTATATTATCGGGGCAATATTTCATTTTTGAGACACATTTTAACATCGTAGTAATTACTTGAGCCTGAATTTCATAATCAACTAAAGAAAATGTAATAATGACCATCATTAAACTGATTTTTATTTCGACTTTTCAGACTTCAACCCTTTATTGCTTTACCTTGTGTTAATAGATCACATAATCTATTATATACTTTTTCCTGAAGTTCAGTAGACTTCACAAATTCTCCTAATATCTAAAAAAGTAAAATTTTAATAAATTTAGGTGAAATATAAAATAATTCAGGAGTATAATAAAAATATTCAACCTGAAGAGCCCATGAGATTAGGTTCTTAGTCATATTATTAATATCACTTTCTAAAATTTTTATCGCTTCTGATACTGCATATTGACGAATTTCTTCACTCTTTTCCTTACTTTCAATACCTATGAAGGTAAAATTATTAAATTATTTGAACTTTTATAAATATACAATGAGTAATATGCATATTTATCACTAACTCTTTGAGATAATCAGGAATGTAGAGTTTACAATTTTATCATCCAATAAATCACCAGCAACTTCAAATGTTGTGATGATCGTTTTTACCAACCATTCAGGACTTGGAAGGAATGTTTAAGTTGCGCAATATTGATAAAATAAAATTTGTCAAGAACAATCGAAAAATCAAAATTAATAAACATTATAAAATTTTTAATTTTGTAAATTAAGAGGATATTTTCCAGATATCTCAACAATTCTATTCACCAAAAGTAGACGTGAAAATTCATCGGTTGTTGAAATAGTACGTAAAGCATTTATCATATGCTCCATAACCACCACAACGTTCTGTGAATTAACCATCGAGTAAAGCAAATCTAATGTCTGAAATATAAATTTATTAATAAGATTAATCATAGTATTTATGGTTTGAAAAATGATTAAAACTGACCTTTCTCTTTAAAGTATCGTCTCTCTCTTCTAAGCAATCCACAATTATATTCATTTGTTCTTCACCCCACCATTCGCCTTCGATCCACCAAATTGGATCGATTTCAGATAGGCATGTCAATCCCAAATATTTGAGATTATGATTATTTGATTTTAAAAATCGAGTTATTACATTTAATGGGTTAAGATTTGGAGATTTATGAATGAGAGTAGATAATGTTTGTGGATGTAATCGTGATATTGCTCTAATACATTCGAATATTATCGCTGTTCGAATAATTTAAAATTAGTGATAATGAATACCTTAGATACCGTTCAAAGAGAAAAAAACAAACAAACAAACCATAGGCAGCATCCACTCCATTTTCTGCTTTTCTAAGAGTATGAACAATAATAGGTCCAATTTCTGAACTTATCCTAAACGAAATATTAATAAGTGTAAAATCTTGAAAATTGATAATAAATAATAAATTTTAAATTTACTTTTCATCGTCTTGTGCCAGTAAACCCATAATTTCAATTATTTTTATTTGGATCCATGGTGCTGGAACACCATGATAATCGTAGCTCCGTGGCAACCATCTATCAAGAACTTGTTCCAAAATGCTAATTAGAGAAGGAACCAAATCTTTGAATTTATTTGGATCAGCCTGAACAAGAATATATGAAGATAATAAATAAATGTACAATAACCAATAAGAAATTTTGCGATAATAATACCTTTACAAATTCGAAAAAAAGACATAGTATTGAACCTAATACACTTGGTTCACGTTCTGTCAACATCTGACGAAATTTTTCATCAAGATGCACCATCGTATCTGGAGCATCATGAAATAATCTGTGAAACACCATTACAGCTTTCTTACGGACAATATCTCTTATAAAAAGTAATTCCAGATAAACTGTTAATATAATTTGAATTCAGTATGTAAACTAAATTTGATTAAAATGAATTTTCTTACTTTGGATGTGTTAAGGCTTCCTCTACGAGTCCAAATACAGCTGGTATCATATCCTTATTTAGTAAATGACATAAAGCGGTCAATGCAGAGCATACTTCAAGATAATTATTGCTCTTAAGGTCCTATGAAAAAATACATTCATGATTAACAGCGGTTGCGAAATTAATCATCAATTCACATCTTTAAAATAAATACCTTTTGTAATGTATTAATTAGCATAATACTAAGTTCATGCGTCTCATGTAAGAATAAAGAACAGGCCAAATAGCCTATATATATAATTAAGTGTTTAATATTAATTCGATGCCTAAACGATTGATTATTTACAAATTTATTGTTTACATTATTACTGTAATTTTTTTTTTGCAAAAAGAACTTGCCAATTCGTTTATCCCACAATCCTTTAGCAGATTGTGCCAATTTTACGGCGTGAATATGACCAAATTCGACATTATAGCCCAAAATTTCACAGTATATCAATCTGGTTATGTAATCTCTGATTTTTCTCTTTATTTCGTAATGTATATTTACAAATTATTCAATTTATATATAGAAAAGAAAAAAAGTTATAAAATATTTGAAAATATATATATATATGTAAATTTTACATAAAATTAAGAAAATTTACAGATGAAATATCGGGTTGATTTAATTTGGTTTTGAGAGAAATAATTTCTTGAGAGACATATCGATCTTCTTCCTTTAATTGATAAAAAAATTTTTAGTAATTTAAAATTTGCTAATTATATGAATTACACCTAAATTATCAATTTTAGACTTAAATGTCTATATTTCTACCTGCTTGCTTCTAGCTTCGCCAACCTTGGTCACAAATTCAAAAAATCCACGACTTAGTCCTGACGTCAAATAAGTTGTATTTAAGATAGTCGGCAATCGAGAATTCATGATTTTGTACAGATGTAATTCATGAAATTTAAATCTATTTATACTTTATACCGATCTCATTTTTTGCAGGTGATACCAATCATGTGCTACAGTGCAGGAATTCTTTAATAAGACCAAAATTTTAGATTCATGTACTGTAACAATATGACTCAATAAGAATATTAACCAACATTTAATTAGTAATTTTGACCGGAATTATACTAATTCAAAATAGTATCGGCCAGAATTAAAGTGAGAGGTTTCGACCACTTTGATGGGGTGCGTTTTTTTAGAGTTAGGATCTGCGACAGTTGTTATATATTCTCGGTGTCCTTATATTTTTTTGATGGCATGTCTATTTGACATTATCATTCACTTAATTTTAATCCGTTGTAAGCATTATAACTAGAAAACTGATAAACCCTCAAAAACTGTGGTAATAACTGCAAATGGAAATCGTACCAAGGCACTTGGTATTATTAGCAATGTGAAGATAGTGTTACAAGACTTGTTCATCCCCATCGACCTCCAGATGATAGATTCTCTGAAGAAGACTTTGTTGTTGGGCACAGATTGGTTCAATAAGTCCCGCGCGCTAAGTTGGATTTTGATAACATGTAAAATATTCAGGAAAGCAGATAACTGTAAATGCGACCCATATAAGTAGTAACAACTACAACTAAGAATTAGAAGAGTTTACCGATGAGGAGAATTGGATTGACGAATTAGACAGAGATGAAGAAGTTCAGGAGGTCTTTTATACCTATTCGTCATCAAAAAGAGAAGACCTGTTTTAACCCAGCGGTATACTTAACTGAACCGGTGATGAATAAAAAAAGAAATGGAGAACAATCAGACAACAGCGGCAAACCGAAGAACTATTAAAAGAATATTCAAATGTTTTCGCGGAAAAGATTAGTGAAAATGGTCAAACGGTAGGGTTAGGCCAAACTAATCTTATATGCCATGAAATCGACACCGGTAACGCAAAACCTGTCAAACAACTTCTTAAAGAAGAAATTCTTGCCATGGAAAAACAAGGCATCATATTTGAAATAAAGAGTCCTTGGACTTCTTCGGTAGTCTTAGTACCATAAAAATTTACTACTTAATAATATATATACTGTATTATTAATTTTTTTTTATTTTATTTATTGTGCACAAACTTAATAGGAATTGATGCTCAAGTTCGATGCATACAAATTAAAAATTGACAAAAACTTGGATGAAATCAAAAGCGTAACGAACCAAATGGCTGAAACAGCCAGAAAAATCGATGAAAACTTAATTGAAAAAAAAAAAAACCGTATCTGCATCGACTATAGAAAATTGAATGCAGTGACAGAAAAAGACATATATCCCTTACCGAATCTTATCGGAATTTGAAGGGGCAAAATGGTTCACCAGCCTAGATCTAGCAAGTGGTTATTGGCAGGTTGCTATCAAGGAAGAAGACAAAAAAAGAAAAACAGCATTTATTACTAAATTTGGGACTTACCCCTTTAACGTAATGTTGTTTGGTCTATGTAACGCACCATCGACTTTCCAACAATTGATGAATCATATTTTCAACCCTTTCATCAATAAGTTTGTCGTCGTATACCTAGACGACATTACTACTTACTCTAAGACCTCAATAAGCGGTAGAACGACCTAATTAAGGCAATAGCCTCGAGCATTGAAAAAATCGGGTTGTTGGAAAATCGGGAACCGGGAACGTAGTTAAATGCAACAACCCGAATTAGAGATACCGAAATCTCTGAGGCGGATGCACGGCTATCCGAATCTATGAAAGCCTTCAAGCATGTAAGTTTTATTTTAATGAACTTATTTTTATAATATTTTTCTGCCTAAAATGAATATATAAATAGAACGGTATTTGAAATATATAAATAGAGTACTAAAGGTAATGAATCTCCTTCCGAGCAAACGGATCAGAACGATTTTAAAAATTGGATAATAAAAATCCTCTTTGTTAAGTCATATATCTCCAAATCAGAAGTTTATAGTCTTCATACTATAGACTTAAGAATCAAACCAAATGACGTGTGGGCAAAGAAGGCTAATGAATTAGTTAAGGAGTTGTAAGTATGATATAAATTTTAGTATCTTAAAAGAGCTTAATAGTAAATAATAATTTGACCACCATTTATTTCAATCAAAAGTCTAGTACGGTCCAGAGAAGAAACTAATACTCTTCACGAAGAAGAAGAAAAACCTGAAAACAATTCAGAACTTGCAAACAACTAAGAACCTATCAACTAAGAAGAAATAGCAATGGATGCTGCTGATCAGGCTATGACCCGGCTTATCCAAACCTTGGAAAGAGAGTAACAGAACTTTTATAGTCAATCACGTCACGCCCCTTGTATTCTTTGAAGAGGTGAATTTCAAGTGACACCGTCACAATTATGATTATCAGAAGATTTTAAATAGTTTAAATAGACAAAAAATTGACATACTGAGCTAGTCATGGAATGGCAATTTTACAATAAAATTGTGGTCTTTATTCAATCAACTGAAGAATTTAATGAATTCTCAGAAAATGATAAAATGAATATTAATTTTTTACTGTGTTCTTGAAAACTCTAAGATGGTGTACCGCATAACGCGTATTTGTCCCTTTTTAAATACGGGTATAGAGATTTTGTACTGTACGTATATTATTTTGTACTGTACAGTATGATATTAGTATATAGTAAAGTAGGTGCATATCCAACGTTGATGTTTCAATTTAACCAAGTAAACTCTGAATTATAATTCATTCCAACATACCTTAGAATGAAAGGTTATTAAAAATTAAACAATCTATGAGAATTCATATCGTATACAAGGAATGATAAAAGTGAAATAAAAAGTAATAAATTGCGTAAATAGACAATAGGATGTAGATCTACTAGCGCTAATGTACATAAAGAAAGAAAGATTTATACTACATCGTGAAACTAGTTTTCAAGATGCAATTGAAGTAACGGAATTGTAATTAACAGATAATACTGGAGGTATATTCGTGGTGCAAAGTAATATTTAAATAATTTGGGTTTATTTTATAATGATGATGTTTAATTATCTTGTGCTTAATAAAAATTAAAGATGCTTGGATTTGCATATAATTAAATAACAGATAAATACAATGCTATAGTTTGAAGCTTTAATATTCGCGCTTTTTTACATGTTAAAAAAAAACGTCAACCTTTTAAATATTAATATGTAGTAAGGGACGCCGAGAGAAAATAGACTTCGAACTTGTAAATTTATAATTTAATAACTCAATTATACATTTTTTCAAGAATTGAGTCCATAATATATAAGCTTAAAAAGCCTGAAGTTTGGCTTTTTCTTGGCGTTATTCATATATTTAAAAAAAACCGTATGGATTCCCTCTCTGGGGCGTGACCAATCAATAACGAGTGACAAATAAGTATCTATTAAATATACAGCATAGTGTTCCGACTCGGGTGGTCAACCCGCGGGTCGCCCGCTGGCAGAATTGCCAAATTGACTTGATTATGACCTAAATATTAGAAAATCATGTTCCAGTCATGGCTTTTGAATCCACATCTACATCACAATACAGCTTGAGCCGGGATATTCAAGCAGATAATAGCTCTAATTAAGTTACCCAAGTTCATGAAGATTTACTAAGTATTTATATTTAGTACGTGAGTATAAAGAATCTACTGTATATTTATATTAACCTTAGTATTTAATCAAGATATCACGCTCATCAATATCTTCGTTCATTTTATTTGCATTAATTTAGTGCATGAGCATAAAGGACATTTATAAATCTAAGTCTTCAATAAGCTATTCATGCCTATGAATATTTACTGTTAGTTTATTTTAATTTAGTGCATGAGTATAAAGAACGTTTAAATATTCAAAATAAGTTATTCCACTTAATTTATTATCCATAATTTGCTTTAGATTGTGAATAATGAGCGTTAACTATCCAATTCATAATATTTACCATGAATTTAGTCGATAATATAAGCATTAAAATAAGGTATCAAAGTTCATGAATATTTACTACTTAATTTCATTCTATTAAGTGCATGAGCATAAAGAACATTTTATTAGTCTAAGTTTCGCATTCATGAATATTTTCATTCTACTTTGAACATAAAGAAGATTTATTAGTTTAAGACTTTATTTTTATCATTCGCTTTGATTTAATGCGTTAATCCAAGTATTTAAATAAGCTACTCGCTGATTTTCTGAGTTTCTGATTTGATTTCTGATCTAAATTTTCACGTTTAGCCTCACATAATCAGGATACATTTCCTAACTTATGTATTACGTCACTAATATAAATCAAAAGAATATATACCACGGGGTTATTAACCAAATTTAGATGTTAACGTGTTTACGCGTTATCAAACTCCTTATCAGTTATAAAAGGCGCATCTGATTTAGAAAGAATTTTAAAATTTTTTCTAACTCTCAGGGATCGTACTAATACTGGAAATATTCTACTGAAAAATGTTATTCATGACTTAGCACCATCATCTTTCAACATGCTTTTGATGATTTTTTAAGCAAATACAATTCTCATCTTGTTACCATTTGCGACTTTCTCGTTTGGAGAATTATATTTCCTACGATGGAAAATATAGTACGTACAAACATTTGCAGAGCTAGTTACATGGAATTAACGGATTACCGTATTGGCGCGTAATAACGCACATGCGCGGTAATTCGAATCATTTTGACAAATTTGGGTTACAAGAGGAAACCCTACATTTAATAATGAACTTAGCCTGAAAAATTCGATCAAAATATGTTTCCAGTGCGTATAACACATTCCACAAAAGATTATTTCTGTTTTGCTCGTATTAAACCAATGATTAATTCGTTTAATTTATTTAATATCTTTAGCCAACATTGCCCGAGATGCACATCCAATACCGGATCAACTTTTCCAAACGGTGACTGTTGGCTACAGGACTCACAAAGCTCTTTGGGAGTCCTTAAAGTACCTAGGCGACAGAGTCCTTACGCATTGCCTATTAAAAGTCGCCAGGCAAAGACACGGGTATAGATACAGCTTTCGGGTAATATCTAGTGTCTTCGTAAGCCTTTGAAAAAAGCTCTCGCTACAGAACACTCGGCAACTCTTCATATTTCTTCATATCGATGAATTCCAACTGATTTTTTAAGTGGGACAAAGAGGACATATGCAGATATTTTTTAATTTTTAAAATCAAATGAGATTTTTTGATATTATTCAATTAATATACTGTATTATTGTATTATTGATTTTCTTTGTTTTATTATTAATTGAAATAAAATTACAATACTAAAACATTATTTTGAAAGATTGACTAAAACACTTTTCTAAGTGTATTTCTTGAACTATAGTTCAATTAGAGTTTCAATATCTGATCCAAATAACTGTGTACCCGATAACCCGAACCGAAAAATACCAACTGGTTTGCATTTTTGACAAGCCGGTTTTAAAAGAGACGGTCTACCGGCATAGCATCCACATGATTTATCTTTCTTATCGGCACAGCAATTGACATTTCATTTTTCCGATCTACTCAACTTCTTTGAAGCACAATAACTAAAATGATGACGATCATGTCAACTTTTGCTGTGCCGATAAGAGGGATAAATCATGTGGATACTGTGTCGGCAGATCGGTAGATCGTCTCGTTTTACGGGTCATCCGTTGGCAAATGGGTTACGTGACAAATAGATGTGTGTGTCAATAACTAATAAGAATGCATGATTAAATCACAGGTCTATATTATTCTTCAGTATTTTATAACTTTTATTTAGAGATCCAATTTATTCGGATATTAATTTACTATTGATATCCGGATAATTATCCGAATACCTGTCGATTTGAATTATAATTAGATACGGAAACGGATGACGGATTTATCCGGATTGGAACTCTACTTTTATTTTCTTGACATTTTATTCCTGGCAATTAATTCTTCTACGCTTTTTCTCCACTTTTATTTTCCGGCACTTTATTTTACTGATAGCTTCATCTTATAAATCTGAATATAAAATAAATACATGTTCACATTAATTAACATAAATAATATTTTTTTAAGTTCATAAATATTTATTGCTTTATTCACACTGATTTAAGAGGCAAGTATAAAGAACATTTATCAATCTAAGTATTTAAATAAGCTATTATTTCATGAATATAATACAATTGATAATTATAAAAGAATGAACATAACGCAGTTCAAAGGTGGAAATGTGAGATCGATAATTATGTAGAAGATTTTCAATTTAGACAAGCATTTGATTGGTTGAATTCAACGTAACTGTCGTCAAAATAGAATAGGAGTTGAAATAGATAGGTATAGAGCATTCATTATCATCAAAAGTCTGTTGAAGTAACAATTTGAATGAACAATATGCTCTTGAATCATGCTATCAAAATGGTATGATCATAGCCAAGGGATAGTATATTAAAGGTTGAAAAGAAAATTAAAAAATTATGATAGGATGATGTCGACAATGATTAATAAGACCGCGTAAATATTCAGCACCGTTGCACTTAGTACTTACCTGATTCTAAGGAATCATTTGATGATAACTTGCGGTAAGGGCTTGTAATGGATTGCTATATCAAACCAAATAAGTAGTGCACGGAAACATAGGGCGTTCTCAAGTATTTTTCTTAATGGGCTTAACAAAGAATCTATTTGATCTATTAGATCGGATTTTTTATTGAACCCTAGGGAGAGGTGCTTGAGAACACCCTAAATTACTTCGATTAAAATCTTGGAACCCTGGTTATTTTCTTTTATAAATTTTGCTCGCACATGTAAGAACATGTGCTGTTTTTTTTTATACTGTAAATGGTTAAATCCGGTCCAAGCAGTGTTGTACATGGGACGCGTCCATACTATGTCCAACGTCCAAGATTGTCCAAAATCGTCCAAGCCTATGTCCCATGTTTAAATAATCAATAAAGTAATTTAAAAAATTATATAATTATATATTTTTTTAGATGCTGGATTCATTTATGAAAAAATTAAAATAGATTATCTTAATAAAATTTTGAGTAATTTTAATTTGAAAAAATGTCCAAAATTGTCCAAAATTGTCCCATGGGTCCAAGTATACATGGGTGCTTAAATTCGGGGGATGGCTAAAGCCAGGTACATCGTATTAGGGTTAGGGTTAGGTTAAGGGTAGAGAGGAGAATTTATATATAGTAAAATCGTATTTCCGACACTTTTACTTAGTGAATCAAGGTCAGTTTAGATAGCCGCTCTTGTCTTTGTTGTTTCGTTTTGTTTTGTTCAGACAGGTCCGGGTTACATATCGGGTAATATTGTGATATATTTGGCTGACTACCCAAATGCCGAAATTATTTTCGGCTGTCGTAAATTGCTGTAATTATTTACGGCAGCCGAAAATGTTTTTGGCTGCCGTAATCATTTTTCGGCTGCCGAAATCAATGAATTTTTTTTATTTGAATTTTACAGATCAGTAGAATTCAAATAAAAAAAAGTGACCGAATTTGCTTTGGTATTTGTCAGACAAATATAACTATGTTGCCGAAAAAAATAAACTTAGATAAAATCGCACCCTAAGTGATTTGAACCGAGAAAAATTTCCTTAATCGGTCAACCGAACCGAATTATTTTATTCAACCTCAGAAATTCTCGGAGCTTTGCTCAAATTGCATTTTGAATTACAGCACCAATTATTAACTATACTATACTAATCTGCTATGTTTGTCTCATGTCTCAACTTGTTCGTCTTTTATGTTCATTCATTTTCTTTTCGGAACTTTTCGGAACCTTTGCTCCCTCCTTATATTTTCATACTATATCAACCTGATGTACTGATTAAGAATTTCCTCAACCGGTCAACCGAAATTTATTCGGTTCGGGTCGATTAACAGATTATAGGCCAACCGATTCAAATCACTACCCTAAGTGCCATCTCTTAATTTTGACCAATCGAATTTCAAGATCAGGTGTAACGTATAAATCGAAAAGAAAAACAATAGCTCAAAATTTTAATTAGGAAACCACTTTTGCGGCCTAATTAAGGATGCTTCTTGTGAAATTTTGCTAATAGAAGCCGCATTGCTCTAACTCTAATCCTAACCATAACTTGGCTTATTGGCTTTGATTTTACACGTTACATCTGATCTTAATTTTGATTGGTTAAGAATTGTAGAAGGAACAATCTTTGTGAATGCACTACCTAAAGTCCTTTATAGATAATTGCATGTATTTTTAATCATTATAGACCATAAATGCCCAGAGCGTAGTGGAGAACTCAATCTCTACGTAAGGTGATGTAAACATTACGTTTTGATGCATTTATAAAATATACTTTTTTGATACATCTGCATAAATATTATGAAAATTGTATCAAACAGTAATTTAGAAAATTTTTGTCCATCCGCACGCGTTTATAACCTTGTACTTTAGTGTAATAAAGGCATGCCAGTACATAGCATGCGTTGTTAACTATATGGACTCCTGACATACAATGTTACGAATTATCTAGTACTAGATAATAAAATAAATATTATCATTTTAAATGTTTAGCAATATATAAAATATTTTCGGCAAGCTCAAAATACTTAGACCCACATGTATATACCAATGGCTACTTCGAATTTCCGAACATGATCCGAGATAAGCGAAAAAAATTAGATCAAGGGTTACCACGAAAAAAATAATTAGTAGGTAAGTATGAAGCAATAATATTTAGTAATCAAAAAAAAAAAAAAAAAAAAAACTTGAAAATATTGTCAGTTAATTTACGCACAATGACGCAAAAAAATAATTTAGGTATCTGGAAGTAATTTTAGCATCCGAAATTATTTACGGTTTAGGCTGCCTAAAATATTTTCGGCAATTTTTATTTACGGCAAGCCAAAAATAATTTAGGCACCCATCTATAGATCCAAGTATCAACTCTAGCTTCGTCATGTGATAATTACAATGAAAAGTAAAAGCGTTAGCTGAGATATTTAAATTTTTAAATCAGCAAAATTAATTCGTTTATCCAGTTTTATTATATTCATAGCGATAGATGCTAATTAAATAAGTTTCCATATACATTAAATTAATAACTTATCGGAAATAAAGGATATTGCATTTTGTTCAATAATATATGCGATTTTGTTGCTCAATAAAAAATAAATTATATCTATATCATATGATTAAAATTTGCATCAGATCAAAATAATTACAATTACCCTAACATAACGATAAGTTTCACTCTAACCCTAAAGAAACTCGGTATTGACGCAAATTTTCGAATTCGCTAAATATAAAATATACTATATACAAGGCTTTAAACGATGCCTTATTAAGTAAAAGTGCATATTATAACGAAGATAGCACGAATAAAGCATGGAGGAAATGAGAATGTCGAGGAAATAGAGTGATTGTCGGTGAAATGTTGTATCGAGAAGTACGGATAGGCAAAATAATTTTGTAAGTACTTATGGCTTATTCTTTTTACTTAATTGAGTCTATATCCGTGGTATTTTTTATCCTGTTTCTTAATTTATTTTAGGACAGCGAGTTAGCTGCTAATAAAACCCGCTACGTAGATCAAGTTAGGTCTGTTAATTGGTTCGTCCAGTCCGTCTTGGCAATCTTTTAAAAAGTTAGACCAGACCAGGACTGATTAGATTATTAGACAAATTAAATGGCATATAAGTTGTGCCAACATATTAATTATATATTTATTATGTATTATTATCCGTTATTATTAGACTCCATTCATTTATTACTCGTTTTATACCTCCAAACTAGAGGGTAGATATTTTTATTATAGGGCTATAATAAATCCGGATAATTGGGTAATTTAATAATACCCGGGTAGATATTTTCTTGACGGGTACAATCTCTACTCCAAACAAATATTTAAACCTGTCTTATTATTATTAGAGATGGCAATGTGCATGAAAATCATGCACATGATTTTTTTAGATATATTTTTAATGAACCCTGTACTGTACTGCAAGTATATCTAGACAATCATTTTAATTAAAACATATCTAATTCTTGTTTAAAAACCTGTTATTATAATAAAATAGAGATTAAATAAGAAAAAGTCCGATTTGTATAACGATAACGATAAGCAACTAAAAATTAACCTCGTATATACTGTATACAAATTTATAATAGTGCTCATCATAATCTAAACACAAAAAACTAGGCTCGTTACAATAATTTAATGCTAACTTATATTAGGGCGAGTTCGACAGGGCGGTCCCCATGAAGTTCGGGTTGATGGCCACCGCAGTGTATAATTCTGGCTAAAATAACGTAATATATTACATAATGTAGGCCGATTTGCAGCTTGTGTACATAGAACAGTCAATCATCAACCCGAACTGGAGAGGTTTCCCTGTCGAACTCCATTAGGATCGATAGTCTTCTTGATCGTCCTATACTGTAAAAGGCCAGACTGGCCCAGTCCTAGGACAGTTGGAAAATCGCGGAACCAGATTATCTATAACAATGATTTACAGCTGTTTTCATAAATTTTGGAACACCTAAAAATTTTCTCGTTTCCCGGAATCTTTTCGGTTTCGTTCGGTAAATTACCTAGCTCTCTGGAAACTACATCGCTATTTTCGAACCTTCAGTCCGGAGACAGCGATGTAGTTTCCGGAGAGTTAGGTAATTTACCGTACGAAACCGAAAAGATTCCGGGAAACGAGAAAATTTTTAGGTGTCCCAGAATTTATGAAAACAGCTGTAATAATAACTGATATTTTGGACCGACGGTCTCTTCAGTCCGTCCAAAAAAGACAGGACCGCCCCGGTCCTAAGACGGACTGGCTGTCCATCGGTTTGAGTCGGACCCACTTAACCAGTGGACATGACCGTCCATGATAATTTATTATATACTTAGGGTTACAGGTTAAGAATCCGTATTTTGAGGACGCTCTTATTGATATTAAATATAATCGATCTATAATTTACGTATTAAGTATTTATCACTTATTATTTATACATTAGTCATATGATAACGATTTAGAGATTGTCCCGTAGAAAAAATCGCTACCCGGGTTTCCCGGTAAATATTATATCCTGATCCGAGTACAAAGTCTAGATTATACTATTTTGCAGAAAATCTTGATATGTAATAATTTTGTGAGAAAATGAGGTGATTGATGGGAAAATAAAATCGGAGAACTGATAATCAGACACTGAAACTTCAACGTTAATATAAAGTTCTTGCTCAACAAAAATATTAGATAATAGATTTGACCAACCCTGGATATATTGCCTTTATTTTCAATAAAGCCATAATATTAATAAGATTATAAGATTATAAAAAAATATATGCCTATAGACTAAGTCCCACCAAAAAGTGAATTTGTGAATTTGTGAATTTGTAAAAAAAAAAAAGACAAAGTAAAAAATAATTTACAAAGAATTACCGTTTACTACTATATATGATGATAATACCAGGGGTCTTTTTCAAGAACCCATACTTTTAAAATTGATTTTACTAGGTACTATTCACAGATTCTGTGATTATGGTAGGATACTGTATTATTTGGAGCATATTATATTACAATGGTAAACGGTAATTTATAATGCTAGAGATGAATCTGATATACTATGCAAATAACAAAGTTACAAAATATATTATTAACACTCTTTTCAACACGACCAAATATATTAGTAACCCAATTTTTCTATTCCCCCCAAAAGACCAATGCTAGTTCCCAAACACGAAAAAAATAGATATACCCAACGATGTAATTAATAGTTATGAATAAAGTTACACAAACTGGTTATTAGTATGCTTTTCAACGCGACCAAAAGTTTTAGTAAACCAATATCTCCATTCCCTCAAAAGACCAACACTAGTTCCAAATACGAAGAATATAGATATACCCAGTGATGCTGTTAATAATTCCGCTATAACCAAAAACATAACATTCGGTACGTGTTTTAATGAAATATTTGCACATTTACTTTGACCATCATTTGTCAACTGATATTTCATAAGGCAAGCTAACCATTTAGATACCCATGAAACAGTTTCTGCTGAGTCTTCTAGAAATGGGTATAATTGTTGTGTTGCCAAAATTGAATGTATCTAAAGAGTAATTCAGATTAATAAATACAATAAATACAATAAATAAGTGAAAAGAAATGTTAAATTTAAGAGTTACCATAAAGATAATGAAAGTAGTTAGCAAAATCATTGCTAACAATAAAGGGCGCCATTGAACCTTAATGACGTTCAAAACATCTTGACCGGTGATATGATCCATAGAGATGCTTGATCGTGTTATGATCGTTCCTAAGGATGAATCTTCAAAATCGCGCGCTAACACCCATTGTGCCTAAATGAAAATCAAAAAATTATTAGAACTTTATATTTGACATCACAAACTTTATGATAAACTTAAGAGACTTACCCTGGAAATATGAATAAAAGTCATAATATGAATCAAAAATGAAGGTATGACAAAAACGGCCAGTGGAGTCCAGAACATTGCTATAGAAACTTTTCCAGAAACCAAACAAACAGCACCAAAGTCGAATGTAATATTTTTTGTAACAGCCGGTATGAAGGTGAATAATAGTGATACCACCCAAACAAATACTTGTGAATGTACATAATATCTTTGAAGTAAATTTGATTTCCAAACAGTTTGGATGTGTAATTGTAGGATTAAAAGGAAACAATATAAGATAAGAAGGAATGTTGTCAGGATCAGCAATACTCCTATTTCATATTAATATATGAAAATGAATTAGAGAATGTTATATGAATGATGTCCTTTAAAAATAATAGGAATTATATATTTACCTTGTATCCCGCAAAGAAGATTGTTATCCATAGTTGATTGATCAAAGTTATTAGCACATTGAATATTATTGTGATTTCCAATGTAAAAAAAGGTGATACCGAGAAATGCTAAGAGACTGATGTTAAAAAAAAGAACGATCATAGCCGGATGTTCTCTTTTATTTGGCAGCACCAAATAACTTATCACAATAAATGAAATACAGGCAAATGAAATAACTCTGATAATGCTCCAAACTGTAAATATCGCATCTATTTGACCTTGTGGATAGAAATTATTTATGTAGGGACATGGAATGCAACATCCCCCGAAACATGTTTTGCTGCTATAACTACTCATAGGCGAAGCTATCAATGGTGGAGGACAAACATGTGTAAAATTTAATTGAGTGAAAGGCTCCATTTCTGAAAATGTTGATATCGGAAATGTCTCAAGAGTCCAAAATAAAATACTTAATATGTATTTGTATGGATCTTTTTTCATATACAAAAGAGTTATACTCTTTGCCCTGTCGTAAAGTTGTCAAATTATGCACGCATTCACAAGTAAAGGGTACTTTGCGATTTTACTAGTAGTGCAACCTTTGAATATTAGTTAATTCTGGCTACGATCAAACTTTTTATATGTGTTTTTTCATTGTACAAATAAACGTGTGGTTTATAATTTTAGTTGTAAAATGAGCTCATTTTGGAAGTAGAAAGATTTATGATCATTTGCTTTAGTTATTTACGGTAATCATGCTAAGGAATTTTTATTATTTGTTGAATGTGACTTTATTTTAATTACGTTGAAGATTAGCGGTATTTCCCTTGAAGATTAACTTGTATTGTGTATGTGGCATCATTAAATTTATAACTGCTATATAATGGATATGTAGAACATTTTATCCAATTCGATCTAATTACTCTTTATTTTTTCAGATTTGCATTTATTACATTTAAGATTAATTCTGTAAATCCTTTTCAAATTAGTGTTCTTATTCATATCAATATGCAATCTACAAATTCGTCATGACACACCCCTGAAAATCATTGACAATAGTAAAAAGTAAACAAAATTTTTGCAAGTTTTTAGTATTATAGTAATTCATACAACAAGCCCTTTGGGCAAGCAAGTTACTCTGGTACACAATAAATAATTACAATCGGCAAGATAGAGAGAATCTACAGTACCCAAGAAACACAAGTTCCTCAAGTCTTAGCTCCTTTGGAG